GCGTAACTGTAGGGAAGTGCCTCCCGTCATCCTGCGTTTTTAGTCTCATCGGAATATATAGTATCCTTCTATTGATGTCTCCGTATCAGAGACGCCCGGTGTGAGCAAGGTTTCTGTAGGTGCAATCATGGACGGTTGTTCAGGACAAGTCGAGTTTGATATTTCGCGAATTTGTTGAAAAATTAGGGTGTTTTTTGGGCAATCAAATCAACACTATCCGCCCTGCGTCAGAAGTTTTTGTTCACAGTGGTATGGCATCAGTGAGGATAGCCGTTTTAGCTGCTTGCGCCTACCCATGGCTCCAAATTGGTAAATGTTGCTTACTCGTCTGCGTCCCGCATTGGTGATTCCCGGAACTGCTATTGGACAGAATCTGTTATGCCCGTCCGCTATGATAGCTTAAATACATTTGTTCGCAGGAGTTCTAAACAATAGAGTTGTCTAAAGCCCTTTCTCACTCAAGTATACTAATAGGCGACAAGTTGATGCATTTTGCAATTTAAGGAATATATTCCTGACTGTGAATGACCCCGGGAGCGTTATTGCCGGGGAAAATGTAGCATTTTTCGGACACCTGTCTGCGAATAGCAGGGAAGAGATATTACTTAGTGATGCGCCTAATTCACAATGTTTGATTACGTCAAAGAGAGCAGCGAATTCGCGAGAAAATAGAGAAATTATTTATTTCATCATCGTAAGTGGAAGCGATGTTACCTACTTTTACTTATTATTGTAACTGGTGGGTCGACATCCAAGCCTCTCGTCGTCTGCCTCGCGTGCTCTGCGTTGCCAAGGCGCCTTTTTTCACGTTTGCAGACTTAATCAATTTGCGCTACTCACAATCGACGCTTGCAAGTGCCGAACTCCATGTTATCGCCCAAATAGAATGCCAAGGATGAGCCGGTTCAGAGCATGAATTCTAAATGTCAAATGTCTGCATGAACGGTCGCTTTATTATCGCGGATCATGGGTTTGGAACCCCGTATCTTGCACAACGTATCGATAATAAGTGAGTTCATTGAATACCGGACACTCATTTTACCATTTAACAGGCTGAATAGCCTATGCAAGGGCGCCAAATGCGTGTCTGAAGTGATGGCACACATGACCACTTGGTCGATCTCCGTGCCATCCATCCATTTGGGGCTCGTATTTAGTATTGTGTGCCCGAAGGTTTAGAGTATTTATCAAAGACTATTCGTGCCGTGCATGGTCTGTAAGTTAACGACAGCAACAAAGCATTAGAATGAGACCAGTTGCTCCTGCGAAAAAACATAGGCTGTCAGAAAGCTAACCATCAAACTACACTTCCACCCAGAATCGCCAAGTTTCGCCTGAGAAGACGATGGGTCGCCTACCTAGTCGAGATTGACGCAGACACCGACCTATTTCAGAACGAAGTTCGCCACTTGCCCCGGTACACGTGCATGAATGGTCCAAAGTCAACTGCAACATACTACCACATTTTAGATGGCGGAGCTCGAAATTCAGTCGCGAACTTTACTGCTTTGGTTCATCGCGTGGCATTCGTCGTTGACGGGGAGCCTGGTACAAGGAATATTATCAATTGGTTGGCCATGCTTCAGATGATATGAGAAACCCTCATTGAGTATAAAGCACAACCTCTGCTGTCGGTCATCCGTGACAGGCTGCGACAAATGCGGTGGCCTCGGCTTTCACTAATGGGAGTCTGCCGCAACGATAGAAGTCTTTTTTGTATAAAGGCTATCATTTTTGCGTTTTCGCGGACAAAAGGGTGTGATCCACGTTTAGGCGATCCTTCATAGCGTCTTTGAATGCAGTGAGTGTGACACAAGTCTGGAAAAAGCAAATCCCCTGCACAATTTTCTGCCGGCTCCACAGATTAAAAAGTGGACACCATAAAAGCCATAAGAAATATGAATTACGCACCCAACGTGGACTTGGGCGACATTCAGGAAAGTACAGAAAGAACTGAACTGTTTGAGGAGTACTTGGGGCTGCGAATAAATTCAGTCAGGTGTCGAAGTTCACTTAGAATGTTTCTTTCGTTCAAACTGTGTCTTGGAGGAAGCTGGCATTCGCTTTCTAGGGAAGCAGGATGTGTTGTTTTATAAGAATTGCGCCTGTTACGGCACACATATCAACATGCCTTGGCTTGCGATTTGCAGTGTTGCACATGACTCAAAATATTGATATCAAGACCAGACAATTTTACACTGCCCATCCGACTTCATTCTCCCCTATATAGGGAGCTCCGCGAATTAATAATGAACCATCAGTCTAATCCGTGGATTACCCTTCTTGAGCCCTCACGATTAAGCATTCGAAGGAGGAATAAAATCCATAAGTCCATGGTTTTGCGCGTCGAGAATGAGTCGTTTTTACACTGTACAAAGGTTTCCGAGCTGAAAATCCTCCGTTTGAACCAACCATCCTTAGATGGGGTCTGCGAATCGTGTAGTGGAAATGGGCCTATTTTCTGCAAAATTATTGGCGTCTGAAACGCCGTGATTCAGTAGAAATCGGACGCGCGTTGCATCCAGTGTAAAGAATTTAATACTCGTGCATATGAACGTTGGCCGCTGGCTGTCGCCAATCAGCGGTCATAATATCGTTGACGTAACGCGTAAGCGCCCAGTCTCTATGAATAGGCAAGCCCGATGACGGCAAATTTCAAGGTTAACTCTTAGGGTACTTCCTTCTCGAGGTTTGGCAATTCTTTGAAAACTTATTACAACATACTCTACAAAACGTGCTGCGAATAATAATGTCAGCATTTGACTGTTTTGTGAAGGATATGTCATTTTCATAACTGGAAATTTACCGGGTTACACTAATTTTGCCCAGCAACTTACCATGTTTCTTTGAGGATTCCCTTTTTTAAGCGAAGCCCAAGTTTAAGTATTTAACGTGAATAATAAGTAAACTACGATAAAAGGCGGGAAATTACAAACCAAGAGCAAAGCGTCAGAAGGAAATGAAGAAACTGTAAAAAATATTTTTTCGACGGCGAAAGCGTTTGGCTCATCTCTTTAGATGTCAGTTATGGGTTAGATATATGGTTACAGAATTCAGCCATTTCCACCGAACTTGTTTTGGTTGCAGGATTTTTGGGGCGTGCAAGCCGTGGATTACACATGTGAGTGAAAAATTGCGCGCTCCACCCCATTCCTTAGTGCCAAGCCTCGGAGGTCGAGAGAAACTCCTCCGGCGGTGAATTAAACACTCAAACTACCTATTCCGTGTAGTGTAGGTGCCACTAAAATCTTAGCGTTAATTAGTTGGAGCCTACAGGATACAATATTTGGATTTAAAATTTGAGCATGGGTAGTTGCCATAAATGGCGCAGTGGTCTGGCTACCCAATAAGTTATTTTACCAGGAGTGAGTGTAAAAAAATAATTACGCTAGATTGCATAAACAATCATAAAGGAGTCGGATGGAACAGATGCACCAATAATCTTTCTCTTTAAAATAGTTGGCCCAGGTCAGCGATTGAGCGATAATCCAATTCTGGTTGTCCAGGGTTTTTATTCTGAACAGTTTCCTAATGTAAGAGATTCCGAGGATAGTCTGAAGTGTTTTGATACGAGAGTTAGCACATGAGACCCGCTAATGACCGCCATAGGCGAGAGCGAAATCAGAAGAGGCGAAGCACGACGCGACGTTTGTATTGCGTTAAATTGTACAAGCGCGTGTTTTTGTAGTTTTTCGTATTCAATTCGTATTTAATTGGCAAAAAATGTTATGATGAGAGCAAAATAAAGGTAAAAACACCGCAATGACATCAGTTTAGGCTACAACATTTCGTTTAAAGAGCCGGTAAAATAACTTATCAAACACCGATTAAGTTCTACATGTAGGCAGCCTGAGTGACCTAGATAGGCTGCAAGAACACTCAGAACAACATGCAATTATTGCCCACCAAGATGATACCGATTCTTAAGCTGAATCAAAAAGCAGCGTGGAAAATCTACGTAAGACCGCCCTTTTGATATGCCAACCAAGTTGTCTACTCAGGGCGCAATAAAGTCAGAACCCTCAGTGAGCGTATTTGACGGTCTGCCGCCTTGAATCTGCTGACTATGGAACGCGTCTCGTGTTACCCGATCTCCTTCTTCCAGAGTATCGTCAACTTGTAGAGACGCACTCGTCCTGCTGCTCCACCAGCTAAAATCATACGCAATTCTAGGGGAAATTCTCCGCTCGATCGGGGCGTCCTTGTCAGATAGGACGTTTCGACTGGAAGCACGGCCGAATCACAATTCTACAGCAGCGGTGTCAAAGGGGTTCATAAGTGCACCATATGGGTCCACTTCTGCTTCCTGTCTACGTCAACAACCCTTCAGGTCCATGTCTATGTTTTGTGGACGACTTGAAATCCTACGTTTACAACACTACGGAACCACATAAGTACGTGTAAGCTGCGAAGCAATACTCGCTGGACTGTCATGTTTCCCTGAAAGAGTCATTCGGAGGTGACTCAGCAAACACACGATGAGAATGGTCTAGATAATAGATAACAAAAGGAATTTAGGTATCTGGCCCTGTTCAAAAGTGTCCTCCTCAGTGCACGAGAAAATTGACTCAAAAGGCATTCGTCGTTTTGAGGATGATTCAGGGCACATTGCCCGTTATTTCTCACATGAACCTCTACACTCGAGACGATCCAAGTAAAACCGCTTCTTGAATATGCCAACCAGGTTGTCTACTCAGGGAGCAATAAAGTCAGAACCCTCATTGAGCGTATTTGACGGTCTGCCGCCATAAATCTGTTGACTATGGAACGCGTCTTGTGTTGCCCGATCCCTTTCTTCTAGAGTATCGTCACCTCTGAAGTGAACTAACACTCACTTATGTCGCCAACGGATTTTCCACTGTTGACTCATTTAGCACACGACCGGAACATGACCGTTACCGGGCAACAACTTTTCCCATTTTCGGTACTTTGTGCGTAGAATAACCTTCCTCCGGCGGTGATTAACGCTGTATCTACTGTCCAGTTCAAAACGCTTTAAGATGCCTTTTAGTGGGTCTTTGCGTTTGCAAGCGTACTGGATGAATCTGAGAAGGTGAAGAGCAGTGTGACACATTTTGTTTTTGCCGTTCAGGTGAACGGAAGCCGCTGAACGGCAAGAACAAACACCACCCGGAGTCCTAGGCGGAGGTCACTGTGCCCTGTAGCATAGCGTGAATGGACACGTCTGAGGCTCGACCTCGCTGTCTTCCCTTTTTCACCACAATTCAGTGTATTGCAGCAGATTCTTAGGTTTAATAACCCACATGGCTCTAGGGTCCGAACTGCGACATACATCGGCAAAGTCTACTTATGCAAACGATTTTCGTCGACAAGTTCGCTTGGCTGCCTGAACGAAATGCACTTCTTCTCCAGCGCGATCATTCGTTAAATATATAACGCGCATTATCTCCTCATTTTATCGAGTGTGAAGGCTAACAATCGCACGGAGTATTTACATGCTCCCTACATGTTGGGAGATAAAACTAATAATATTACAAATAAATTGAAATTTCAAAAATTACAACGTGTCTCTGATGGACTGCAAGAGATAAGCTACTGTGTTGAGAGTATCAGTCCAAACTTTTGAGCCCCAGTGAGACATCCCAGGGCCCAGTAATGCTACGAAATTTTTCCACAAGGACCATAATTGCTTAGGTGGACAATTGAATTTAGTGGTTGCAATAATATGAAACTACATTTGGGTGGTTTCTGGTTCTCTCACATACGCAACATAATGCAACAGTGTGGCGTAAAACGCTTTACTGCATTCGCAATTGTTTGACAGATAAGAGCATTGTGTGGCCAGGGAACTCTATAAACAAGAGGACACTTCCATATTTTCTCCATCCCACCTCGACTGCAAGCGAATCTGACACCAAAACCGTAACAACTAAACATCTTCCAACCTTTGCCACCCCGTCTGTGAATAAACTTCGTGCCTATATATTCATCAGCGCACGCGCGAGGGTGATGAGGTGTGTTGTTTAAAACAACAGATTTCATGGTACATATTTGAACCTGATCATGGGTTTGTGCGCGCGCAAAACACTAACTTTTAGACACGTTATTGTTCAAAGAAAGGTACGTCAAAGAGAAGAAAATCGGATCCGGAACTTACGGCGTTGTGTACAAAGTTCGCGACAAGCGAGACAGTCTCGTTTATGCCATTAAGAAAATAACTCTGGAGAGGTACCATTGTCATCAAAAATGACCGAAGGTGATTTAGTTTTGAAGATGGAATCCCGGCTTCCACGATGAGGGAAATTGGAATACTTTTGGAACTAAATATTTATAAGCATCCCAATATAATAGGGTACAGAGCCTATTCCTTGTTCATTGGGAATATGAATGTAGAGTCCATGAGATAATCCACCGCAACCGTCAAATTTCAATCGTCTATGAGTATGCAGAATGGGACCTTAAGCGTTTCATGGAGGAAAACAACTTCAAGAAAACTTCGGAATACTCTTTGTCACATGCAGGATTGCCTATGAGCCTTGTGACGGTAGGATATCTTTCCCTTTTACTTTCCCAGTCATTTGGAAGGCAGCTTTTGAACGCCCTACACTTTTGCCATCAACTCAAAGTTTTTCATCGTGATTTGAAACCTTCGAATCTTTTGCTAACAAGAGAGGGATTCCTCAAACTAGCTGACTTCGGTTTATCCCGGACATACTCTATGTCAAATCGAACCTACTGTCATGAGGTTGTGACACTATGGTATCGAGCTCCGGAGTTAATGCTGGGGGCAAAACAGTACGACGAATCAATTGATACATGGAGTTTCGGCTGTATATTGTACGAAATGGTGAGAGTTTATCTTATTACCATCAATATGAAAAGCAGATAACAGGTGAAGTGCTATTTCCCGGAGACTCCGAAATAGACGAGTTATTTCTGGTATTCCGGATGTTCGGTAATTTTGCGCTGTTAAAGTCTCACAAACGCATAGGTACACCAACAGAGCAAACATGGAAGGGAGTTTCCAAGATGCCGGACTACAAAGAAGTATTCCCGAAATTTAAAGCAACCGGGTTTCAAAAGTGCCGAATCCCACCAGACGCCAAGATTATGTTGCAGGTGAAAGTGTAGTTTCCTGTTGATGAGATTCCGTAAACTCCGTAAGACCTATTTTTGTCGGCAGTACTAAGATCACACTGATTAGTGTAGGATGAAATGTCACGTTTCTGGATTCAACAGCTTTAGTGAAACCCTCCTAGTCAACTTCATGGCACGCTAAACTGTTTCTAAACAAATTGAGAAAGGCAAATACGACACTCCAGGAATTTCCGGGAGAATTAGCACTGAGGTCCCACGGCGAATATCTCTCAAATACGGTTGCTTACAATTGATCCTGACATTAATCCCCGAAAACGGCTGCACCCCAATAACTTCCGACCTCTTTTCAACGGAAAGTCACGAAGGTTTTTCGTTTTCCCATGTCGATTTGAATGTCCGGACTTTACGCGCTTTCCAAGGGATTCATTTAATTAAAAGTAAATTGCCCATGTGGTGACTCATCGCTTTGAACAGAACGTCTCGATGGCGCCCTATAAAAGTAAGTGATTCCACAATTTCCACGTAATTGCTAGTATCGGGATAAACGTCCACTTTGAGATACCCGGCATGGAAGTTGCGCCGCATATGTTCGCGTTTGGGTTAAACTCAGTATCAGTGAGAAAATCCTAAACTTTAGAGCGCGTGTGTACTTTTAGTCTCACAGCGGCAAGCGTGAGCGGCATGCAAGAACTGTTCAAAGAAGCATGTCACAGTTGCATTTTGGATGATATTAAACGTAAACTAGAACAGTTAGCCATGGTCCTGTAAGAGGATTGATCACCGAATCGGTTTATCAGCCAATATTCAGTTTTGATAAAGTGGACAACTGCCGGAGATTTCACTCAAAGGCACCCGAGGGTCAGAATGTATCCAGAAAGCACGGTGCTTGGAATGACCGAAGAATGCGGAAGAGAGTGACCACTTTAACCCGAAGATTACATACTACAAGAGTAGAAACACCCTTCGTGGGACATAAATGTGCAGTGAAAACCATTTCGGCGGTACACTCGGATGCCTCCTGTCAGACGAGAAGAAATAGCCTCTATAATGAAAACAAAACGTCAGTTTTCAGCCAACAAACCATGCACTGAAATGCAGTGGTTCTCATCCCTGTCACCTAGTTCACCGTGAATAAGGAGAATGAAGGCCGAAGTGCTGACAGGAAGTGAAAGCACGTACTAAAGACAGCCTTGATGATACTCAGGCGAAGCATGGCCAACCAATTGATAATATTCCTTGTACCAGGCTCTCGTCAACGACGAATGCCACGCGATGAACCAAAGCAGTAAAGTTCGCGACTGAATTTCGAGCTCCGCCATCTAAAATGTGGTAGTATGTTGCAGTTGACTTTGGACCATTCATGCACGTGTACCGGGGCAAGTGGCGAACTTCGTTCTGAAATAGGTCGGTGTCTGCGTCAATCTCGACTAGGTAGGCGACCCATCGTCTTCTCAGGCGAAACTTGGCGATTCTGGGTGGAAGTGTAGTTTGATGGTTAGCTTTCTGACAGCCTATGTTTTTTCGCAGGAGCAACTGGTCTCATTCTAATGCTTTGTTGCTGTCGTTAACTTACAGACCATGCACGGCACGAATAGTCTTTGATAAATACTCTAAACCTTCGGGCACACAATACTAAATACGAGCCCCAAATGGATGGATGGCACGGAGATCGACCAAGTGGTCATGTGTGCCATCACTTCAGACACGCATTTGGCGCCCTTGCATAGGCTATTCAGCCTGTTAAATGGTAAAATGAGTGTCCGGTATTCAATGAACTCACTTATTATCGATACGTTGTGCAAGATACGGGGTTCCAAACCCATGATCCGCGATAATAAAGCGACCGTTCATGCAGACATTTGACATTTAGAATTCATGCTCTGAACCGGCGCATACTTGGCATTATATTTGGGCGATAACATGGAGTTCGGCACTTGCAAGCGTCGATTGTGCGTAGCGCAAATTGATTAAGTCTGCAAACGTGAAAAAAGGCGCCTTGGCAACGCAGAGCACGCGAGGCAGACGACGAGAGGCTTGGATGTCGACCCACCAGTTACAATAATAAGTAAAAGTAGGTAACATCGCTTCCACTTACGATGATGAAATAAATAATTTCTCTATTTTCTCGCGAATTCGCTGCTCTCTTTGACGTAATCAAACATTGTGAATTAGGCGCATCACTAAGTAATATCTCTTCCCTGCTATTCGCAGACAGGTGTCCGAAAAATGCTACATTTTCCCCGGCAATAACGCTCCCGGGGTCATTCACAGTCAGGAATATATTCCTTAAATTGCAAAATGCATCAACTTGTCGCCTATTAGTATACTTGAGTGAGAAAGGGCTTTAGACAACTCTATTGTTTAGAACTCCTGCGAACAAATGTATTTAAGCTATCATAGCGGACGGGCATAACAGATTCTGTCCAATAGCAGTTCCGGGAATCACCAATGCGGGACGCAGACGAGTAAGCAACATTTACCAATTTGGAGCCATGGGTAGGCGCAAGCAGCTAAAACGGCTATCCTCACTGATGCCATACCACTGTGAACAAAAACTTCTGACGCAGGGCGGATAGTGTTGATTTGATTGCCCAAAAAACACCCTAATTTTTCAACAAATTCGCGAAATATCAAACTCGACTTGTCCTGAACAACCGTCCATGATTGCACCTACAGAAACCTTGCTCACACCGGGCGTCTCTGATACGGAGACATCAATAGAAGGATACTATATGTTCCGATGAGACTAAAAACGCAGGATGACGGGAGGCACTTCCCTACAGTTACGCGCGTCCATGCCCATTCTAATTGTCATTCCCAATGCCACACCTGCTCCTTTATGTGATGCACTGTGGAACAAATGTTTCCTTTTCGGCATAATCCGCCGCTGCCAATGTCCAATTCCTCAGTCAAACACTAGGGCGGATCTCCTCTAGCTAAGAATTCACTCATCACTTGAACATTGATTTCATCTGCTACTGGACCAGGAACTTGGAGCGTCGAAAAAAGATTCAGAACTCTTGTCCTGTAGACATCCGAGAAATGCATATATTCCTAGATCAACTCAAACTGAAACCTGCTTCAGGAGAGGAAATACACACGAGCGTTGCCCAAAAATTCACCAGGTTCTAGCAATGTCCGCCCAAAAGAAAAATGTGCGGTCGGAAGGACCTAAAGCTTACTGAAGTTATTCGACGTCTTCTGGAAACGAGGTCTCATCTTTTTTTAAAAAAACATAACTACAGAAGACATTGAATTTAGGCTGGTATTTTTTAACGAGGAACTATTTTATATCAGAAATCCGGCGCTGCAACATGCGAGAACGGGTCACCATACTGGGCCCCGCCCGGAAACGCCCACAGAGAATGCAATAACGGTTTTCATTCAGAACCAGCGACCTCGTTACATTTAATCTTCTCAAGATCTGACTGCGAATCACTGTTTAAACAAATTGACCCTTACTCAAGCGGACGTTCTTCACCTTTCGCAAAAGACATACCTGTTCTCGTCAGACGCTCGACGAAGGCGACCATTCCTCTGATTGGACGAAAGTGATCGTCACGCCATTATACAAAACTGGTGGCCCTTATTGCTCGACAGCTACCTGGGAGTGTGATGTAACGCGTTCCTATTCGGACCCATTCAAATCACATTATTCTCAAAAAATTGATACCCACAGCGCAACACGGGTCCGCCCAAAACCGTTCTCGCTTAGTGAACATGCTCGTCTTTTCAGATGGCTTGAGCTATGCCGGGGATTAATGGCTTATATCGGATGTCATGTTCCTCGACTTCTCGAAGACTGTTTGTAGAGACGCACTCGTCCTGCTGCTCCACCAGCTAAAATCATACGCAATTCTAGGGGAAATTCTCCGCTCGATCGGGGCGTCCTTGTCAGATAGGACGTTTCGACTGGAAGCACGGCCGAATCACAATTCTACAGCAGCGGTGTCAAAGGGGTTCATAAGTGCACCATATGGGTCCACTTCTGCTTCCTGTCTACGTCAACAACCCTTCAGGTCCATGTCTATGTTTTGTGGACGACTTGAAATCCTACGTTTACAACACTACGGAACCACATAAGTACGTGTAAGCTGCGAAGCAATACTCGCTGGACTGTCATGTTTCCCTGAAAGAGTCATTCGGAGGTGACTCAGCAAACACACGATGAGAATGGTCTAGATAATAGATAACAAAAGGAATTTAGGTATCTGGCCCTGTTCAAAAGTGTCCTCCTCAGTGCACGAGAAAATTGACTCAAAAGGCATTCGTCGTTTTGAGGATGATTCAGGGCACATTGCCCGTTATTTCTCACATGAACCTCTACACTCGAGACGATCCAAGTAAAACCGCTTCTTGAATATGCCAACCAGGTTGTCTACTCAGGGAGCAATAAAGTCAGAACCCTCATTGAGCGTATTTGACGGTCTGCCGCCATAAATCTGTTGACTATGGAACGCGTCTTGTGTTGCCCGATCCCTTTCTTCTAGAGTATCGTCACCTCTGAAGTGAACTAACACTCACTTATGTCGCCAACGGATTTTCCACTGTTGACTCATTTAGCACACGACCGGAACATGACCGTTATCGGGCAACAACTTTTCCTATTTTCGGTACTTTGTGCGTAGAATAACCTTCCTCCGGCGGTGATTAACGCTGTATCTACTGCCCAGTTCAAAACGCTTTAAGATGCCTTTTAGTGGGTGCGTTCGTTTGCAAGCGTACTGGATGAAGCTGAGAAGGTGAAGAGTAGTGTGACACTTTTTTGTTTTTGCCGTTCAGGTGAGCGGCGCTGAACGGCGTACTGGATGAAGCTGAGAAGGTGAAGAGTAGTGTGACACTTTTTTGTTTTTGCCGTTCAGGTGAGCGGAATCCGCTGAACGGCAAGTACAAACACCACCCGGAATCCTAGGTGAAGGTCACACTGCCCTGTTCCAAACTGTCAATCGTTGACTCTCTGATTGGGCGCTCAATCAGCCAATAACAGACAGGCAATGGGAAACGGTTGCTCGCCGTGCCATATGCGCGTGGATCCAAAGATCCTGGCTCTACATATGTGCATACAGGCCTCAGAGCTAGCACGTTGCTCACTCACACACGGTAGACGCAGCCCCAGATACAGCAACCTCTGCACACGCTCACCAGCTTAACGCACCACACCACTAGCACCGGCCGGTTCACGTAGGCCATGGTTCACCGGGGACGGTGTTCTTCAAAAAGGAGGCCAGTATAGTATACGGTGTCTGTCTAATTCATGTGTAAGTATTGGTGATGTACAACCTTGCTTACTGGGCTTTGGCTCATGAGCTTCGTTTCTGTCTTCCATCCACAGAAATTGTCGTGAACACCTTTTCGGAGAATTACTGTCCCCTGGTGCTTCCATAGCGTGCATATTACAGATAAACTGGTGTGGGTTTGTATTGGGCGACCGAAAGGAAGCGTCTCTGCTTGATTGGCTACCTGTTGACATGCGCCCCTGCATAATCCGTTTGGTGACATCTGTGAGAAAATCTAGAAGAAGTGCGGTCCATCGCACCTTGCTTATTGTGTCTGGTTATCCCCCAATTGGCTGTATCTCTGAGTCTGCCGAGGACAGCTTATGTAACGCTCTAGCTTCCCTTCTACAGCGGGCTTGAAGATCAGATGTCGTTACAGTTGCTGAGGACGTGAAGACCCATTTAGTTAGAGTAAGCCCTGCTGAGGCCCGATTGGGTGGTCGTCTTGGATTGGACACGAGACGCACGGACAACGGGATTACTTACTTCAGGTGTGTGGCGATCATATACTGTTCCTTTGTAGTTCGGATTTCTGGAACAGTGGAAATCGTTTGACAATGTGGCGCCCACCAAAAACCAGCACTGAATCCAAATAGACCGCATCGCCGTCAGTTATCGGTGGCGAGAGTCGATCGCCGCCTGCCACTTCTTCTGGAACACCAGCGTGGACTCCGACCATACACCTGTACGCTGCTGATTTTTAGTGCTCTTTTCAAGTCTACGCAAAAACGTGCAAACTTCGCTTAGCCATTGAGAAGCTGGTGGATTTAGAGGTCAAACTTAACTATCAGAACCAGCTCCTCGAGCGCCTGCCGGTCGATGCGACGTCGGATATAAACGGCCATTAGGGAAATTTATCCAAATTCCTTAAGGCCAAAACTTCTGTTTGCGGTACAACCCAGCCAATCTCACCCAAACACTGGATCTGTGATAAGACCGCGATGGCTCAGTGGTTGGAGTGCAAATTTACTGACCGGAAGGTCCATGGTTCGGACCCGATCTCCATCGATCGACTTCTCCCCTCTCTAATCTTGAGCAACATAGCAGTATCCCAGCCCTCGTGCTTCTTTTGGGTGTCGTAGCAGCTAGGCAACCGAAGGGTGTCGCAGCTGAACGAATATTGTTATCTTTTTAGGACCGTGTCTTTACTGGAAACCCGGCAACAGATCCCTCCCTCCCCACCGCAACCACAACCCCACTCGACGCACTAACCGACGCCAGGTCAAACTGAGTGTTCATACAGACTGGGAAGCTCGGCGGACTCGAAAGGCCGAAGAATTGGAAGATGTAAAGGATGTCGGAAGCGTCCTCAAGCTGTTCCACTTGACTCGTCCAACTGGCCTTGGGAAGGAGACCAGCCTTCAGGATTCTTAAAACAAACTTCGAACTGTTTAAGTTTGTCAGTGAAGTCAGATGCACAGAAGCTGCAGCTGAACATGACACATGGCGAACAAGGTCAATCCTAGTACTGAAATCTGAAGGGTGAATATTCATCTTGGAGTGGGTTAGGGTTAAGAGGCCTCCTTAGCAGTTCATTTTTACTTACCCGCCCTGCTGTGTGCAACAAGTAAGGCGGCATGGCTGCTGACGTCGCGCGACGGCCGATGTGGCTTGATACTACTTCAGGGGTAACATTCGTGGTTGGAGTGAGCATTATGGGTTGAGACATAGATGCCCCACTTCGAGTACTGCCGCGCGCAGCACGTGCGTTTGAAGCAGCATCGTCGTTCTTTCAGCTGTGACTTCTTTCCTTGTCTAGATGCCATGCCACTCAAAGGTATCACGAAGGCTGAGGTGGTGCCAAGTTGCTAAATCGTAGACAGGAGCTCTCGAGATGTGAAGGTTGGGTTCTGACGACGGACTTGAGCCGCGTCAGGCTCATGGAAAGGTTTATTTATTTTTCGATGATACTGGGTGATTCGCCGATGGTTACGGTTAACCGTCGGGTAATCGGGATGTGCAGTTTCCACTGTGAATCTTTTCTAACCCGTTCTTTCTCTGGGTGGGAGGAGCATTAATGTGGGCATGCTGGTCGGAACATTCGTGCTTATTTTACACCCAACACAGAGGACAGTACATTTCCAACGAATGCGATTAGTCCCGCTGTTCTTTCTCGGACTTCTCCCTTTCGGTCTTCCTGGCATGGGTGTGGAACGAAATTCCAACCAATATTACTCGCAAGATTACCGCGGCACTGAACCCTGACCACTACATCAAGGTGAACTCTTTAGGTCGAGATAATGTGCGAACCATATCCCAAATATCCAGCAGCAAATGCACCCACTGCCTTCTGTAAACCTGGTATGATTCATGTTGATTTGTTAGATTGGATCACGGGTTTCTCATTTCACACAAGCATGACATATAACAGCTGCATCATTGTCTTAGTCACTGGATGAGAACCCTTAAGATTTGCTGAACAACACAACAGCAGAATTCACCTCATTACTCCTGTCCCGATGTCACCATTTATGGCTTATGTTGTGGCTTGTGTTGGGTGATCAAATGATCAAACATCGAAAATCAGATTGTTCCTGCTAACCCTCCCTATCAATCACCAAGTTTTCCGCAAAGGCATTCAGCTGCATTCGTGCTTCCGGTTCGTTTTCAGGTTTTTACTGTTTTCTATTCATTTGTCTTCACAGGGAATGAATAATGGACGTTTGCCGCACTCCGATTTCCTAAAAGCCATAAAAACTGTCTTTTCTCATCTTCAACATCGCGCCGATGCATACAGCCAATGGTCGATCGAAGAATTAACCAACCCTGTTTCAGTTGAACTGGTTTGTCGTCAGTATTTCCCCGCCACCGAGTGCCTTTCAGCCGAAGGAAACATCGTTGTGGAATACAGAGTACTGTATAGCGATGCATACGAGGTCCCTGTATTACTTTTTCGGTATCAGGACGCTGACGGATACCCTTTGTCTTCGTACCTCATCCCACAACTCGGCGGTGACAATAACTGTGCTACAACGAATTTGCTGTCAGGCATAAGCCAAATAGAGCACGCTCACTTTGGCATACCTTATTTTCAGTTTCATCCGTGTAAAACTGCGGAAATGATGCAGCAGGCCTTGGGACGGATGCACTCGAATAACGTCGAATATGCAGTGCAGTATCTTCTCGCATGGCTTTCATCCGTAGGTTCACCTCTCGGACTTCTATTGCCTCAGGATTTGGCTGCGATTGTATGCGTGGCGAGTGTTGATGCGATATAAAGCAGTCAGGCGTCTGTTTTCTAGCCGATGAACAAAATCTGCACGCCTTGCAGAAGTAATGAACTTCATGCCTAGACTTGCACTTATCTCATGGGGATTACCAGTGCAACACATGCAGTGCGTAAATTCAGCATCAGTGGACACCGAGCTAGTGTCAGCCGTCTGGATCGGAGCTGACTGATGCGTCCGTGCCTATTTGAGGTGCCAGGAGGTGATTCTCTGTTCTTCAGATAACCATTTAACGGGACCAGATTTCCGATGTACCACTCACTGGTTTATCTGCATGGCTTGAAACTGTGAAGTTTGAAGCGATGCTGGTGTGCGGTAACTTCGCAATGAAGTGTATTAGATCCATATTGCCGCAATCACTTTGAGCACTCCATTAACATTACTGATTTGCTTTAATGTTAGTCTGTTTTCTTTTATCCAACTACAGTTCGACTCTCGAGGTTTTTTTCTTGCTTTCTAATTGTGTCCATACATGCTTGTACCCCATGAAGAAGACTTCCTACTTGACAATGTCTTACATGGCTCACCTTGCATCTCGAAATATAAACGTTTGAAAGGAATTCTTGTTTTTCCTAACGTTTAAGTAGTAGTCGCCCTTAGCTCTGATTATTACTTTGGCAGCTTATTTTTGGTTGATTGACCTGTGAAACCTGACAACTGTCGTAGTGAAAGGGGCTATGTGAGTTTACTATTCACCAGCTCACTAACAAGCGGTCGGCGTTGGTTGAGGTCACCTGTGCAAGCCATGCCAATAGCCGTTTTCTTTCTAGTTATGATCGCTCGCTAATTTGCACGCGAATAAAGTCGTGATAACGAAGACGAATTTAGAGCTCAGGAGATCCGAAACGACTTCGGAGACTCAACACCATATTGTGACTTCTCACTGAGCTCTTTAAATAGGAAATTACAACACTTCATAGGAAAAATTAGAAAAAACTTCTTTATGAAGTTGTTTTTACCTTTCTTATCAACGTGTGTTATGAGTCGACTGCATTATCTCATTCAGTTTCACCTCCTTTCGGATACTGAATTCACTTTTTTGAAGATCGGTTGGAGCTATTTGTGCTCCTTCGACCTTTTATCCATTGCGCTACTACCACGCTATTGTCCTATGATAATTCAGACGTCCAAACCAAGCAACCGTGCTTCTCCATTCACGAATGTCTCCTCAGTTTTGATTCAGCCAGGTGACGCTGGCATAATTTTGATTATCGGTTTTTGGTGTCTCTTCCAAAGTTATCCGAAAATGTGGAAAATACTGTTCCACCAATGGGGTAGGTATGACGAAGCGTGCGAGTAATAGGTTTTCAACACCAAGACATGTTGTTTTTGTGCAAAGTATACTGCACGCCGGAGATCTGTGGCACCTGATTATTTCCCGGAGATGGAAAACCATAGACACGTTTTATCTAAGCCTTAACGAAAGTGAAGAAACAGGGTGCTAATCTGTTTATGCCGAACTTTGTGCACAGAGTAAATAGGTAGCCGTATAATTGTTTCAACTGTTGTGAGGTGCAAATTATAGGTCATAGATTGTGCCCTAATGCTCTTTTTTTATTATTTCATCAATTCAGGAAAAGTTGTGCAGCCAGGCCTATTCGCTGACTCAGGTGGTGCTAGCCGATGACAGTAATGAGACACGAATGTGTTTTATGTGAAGGCTTTATACTCAGAAATGGCTATCCGGAAGGGTTTCGAAACACAGACCTTTCATTGGTCTACCATGCTTCCCAATAATGGGTATGAACAACGGATAAAGCATCCTGAAGAGTCAGTTTTGGTGGCATCACACGAATTAGGCTGGCATCTTGGCTCATAAATACGGTACTCCATGTTTGGCACAACTTGGGAAAAGATAAGAACGAATTCCTAAAATGGATGTTTATTGGAAAGTGTCGCACACTGTCTAAACCATTTTCCAGCTTTGTGTATGGGTTCCACTGCCATTTATATTGACTTGAAACAGTTTTTCCAAGCTCACCAGTTTCCACGGCTATCAATTTACCACTCTGTCTTGATCATCCGAAATGCAATTGGGCTCCTGCCATGATGAGAATCCTTTTCCGTGCATCTGCCATCCGACTTGGTCAAATAGTTTTTCGTGTGCAGAAATCAAATAGAGTTTATCTTGTGGTTGGACAGACTACATGACTGCTAAATATTCATCAGCCGGCAGTGCCTGGTTATGTCGGCCTCATCGCCTTTTTTAAAGGCTGGGCCATGCCAACCTACAGTGTAATTGGATCAGTGGGATATCACCGAAAGACGGAGCTCGTAAAAGCATATTCAGTACGAAAGTAGTAGTTTGGGAACTGGCTAGTGTGGCGAGTTCGAAACTTCCCAGTAACGGCTCTATCCTTGATGAAATAATGTTGTGCCATACTGTTGATTCGAGCCTCAGTTTCTCCGAATCGACTGCGTTTCCGGGGTCTTTCCGGGCGAGGGATGGGGATATTTTGTTGTCATGAAAACACGTAACCGATTTGAGCCTTTATACGTCTGTGCATCATGTTCACATTCTAGTGGTTAGAGCGCGAATTTACTAATCGGAAGGTCCGTTGTTCGAACCCGACCTTTGCCCCTTGACTTCCCCTGTCTACGTTTCGCAAACCTGACAGCATCCCAGCCCTCGTGCTTCCTTTTGGTGGCATGGTAGTAAGGCACCGAAAGGGTGCTACAGTTGAACAATTTTATTGTCTCACCGGCTATAAGTTATAAGACGGTTCCACATAGCAGCAACAGCTGCGCGCGATATTACCTACTCCGTGTGGGGTCAATTGCGATATTTCGATGTGGCGGACAAGTCAGGCAGCAGGTGCTGACCCATGCGTATGGACATAAATTGACGAACAACATATTCGGTACTGTGCCATGGGTATTGCTCGACTCTTATTGCTCAAACAAAACTTGGCACTGACTGAGGAAAAGTGGACTGGATGTTTTATTGGGTAGTTGTTATCATCATCATCATCGACAGTGTAACATCAGTGTTCACCACTAGTAGTTCGGTGCCGTATACATCATAACTAGTTCCGGATAACGGCGACGTAGGTCCAGAATGTCGGTGACACCACAGGGCAGGATAGATAGGCAAGCTGCTGGACATGGTCGGCCAAACTTCAGTCTGCACCCAACACTTAGTTATCTTCCGTGACTCCATGCAGCTGCTCGCATGCGATGGCTTCCGCACCTTGGATTACTGTTTTTACTGGGTGGGCCAAACGGATGAGTCCCTCATGTTTTGTTGCAGTCAGTTTAGAAGATGGTCAATGTTTTTAGTGTCACCTTTCCGCCTCACACTTGACTAGCTATGTCACCACGTAATCTACGGTCCGTGCGGACATCGCTGTCGATTACTGAGTTGGGAAACTCCCCCCTGTGATGTCATGGGGCCGGCTTACTTCCTGGTTGGGGTTAATCAAAATGACTCGCAAAAGCACTGTTGCAGAAAGCGATCACTGTCATTTTATCGTCTTTTTACGAGTAACAATTAGGATGGATTGTCATTAGAGCTCTGTATGCTTGTGTTCCACGGGTATAGTCTGCTGTTTTTCAGCGTATCAGATCCTGAAGGTTGGAATCACCCCGTTTTTTGAGACGCTGTTTTTTTTATAAAAAAAAAGGTTAGACGTGATGTCCCCACAGTGTCCATCCTATACAGAGTACCGGTCCACTGGTGGTATACGGCTTGCTGTTGTTTAGGGAAGTACTGCTGCCAAATCTATTTGGTTCGGCCCTCAGTCTGGGTTGGGTTTCCGATTTTCGAGTAATGTACACCACAGTAACCCGTTTCTAGATGTGGTTCCAAACAATTAAGGTAACCAGAGGATCGTGCCATCAGTCGAGGTGCGCGTGGGTATAAGAAAGGTTTCCTACTTATTTCGACTTCCTCGTATTGTCACCGCTCTCCCCGTAGTTCACACCGGGTTTCCTGACCTTACAGTCATTTCCTGCGATTCCACGTTCGTTGAGTAAAACAATGTGTGGTTCTACTGTGATCAAGTGACATGTGCGTGTGTGGACCAAGTACCCTGAGTGTTGCTGCAATCAACCATTTCCTCACCACACTTTACCATTTTTTGCAGCACTGCTATGGATAAAGAACTCAAAAGCAAACTGAAAGATGCAAAAAAGTTCTATCAGAAAGGAGAGTACGATGAATGCCAAAAGCTAACTCAGGTAACGTGATCAAACACAAGTAATTTGCTTGCAGGAAATTTTAACTGAGGATTCGAAAAGTTACCAAGCCCTGGTTTTGAAGGCAGCTTGTTGTGATCAGTTGGAATGTGAAGACGAGGCGGCCGATTGCTTCTTCCATGCTATCAACGTTGATCCTGGTAGTATGTTGGCTTGGCAAGTAAGACACCTGAGACATTTACTTCGTGGATCGTGCTCTTCACCCTTTTTTGGCTTCTGGGTGAATTTTCCTTTAAGAGAGTTCCACCATACACCCAACACCTAGCTCCCCATGCTGTACTTCTGTCCAGTCTGTTGACATGTATCGGCGAGTATCGTGTTCATAACGGAAGGCTATCGTCCTGAGACGATCCGCTCTAAATAACCAAACATCATATCAACTGGACGGACTTACCGTGAGCCAGTTACGGAGTAGACGAGTACATGCCCTCATTGGTCGGATGTTAACCAATCAGGACTGAGCGTTTATAGCTCGGCTCGTCTTGTCACCCTCCACGAAAATTCTTGCGGATTCTTGTGGAACATGCCAGAACAACCGTATAAATACAGTTGTAATAATTTTCCTTTGTCCCCATAAAAGGTTGTCTCAACCTACCGGTCCTTTTGATATTCTACACTAAGCGGAACAGCAAGCCAAATACCGGCATGAAAGTTGCACTACCGTTCGCAACACACAACAGCGTTGCTATCTGTCTACATATTTTCACAATTGCTGTTATCCTAGAATACCAACTGTGATCGGTGTTTGTTAATTTGGTTGGTTTCACTCTCAATGGTACATTGTATTTCGCGTGTATGTTTAATATCATATTTATCATATTTTTTATATTATTCATATTATATATATATA